CTGCTAAAACCAGCTTGAGCTGAAACTTCAGACATCAGCTCCATGCTCAAGGTGAGGCAAAGCTTCATCACTTGGAGCTGTCACGTCTTGCAACTCAGAGGAAATTAACCCTTCAAAGCACACCGTGTATTTGAGATAATTGTGCAGTCCTTGGTACTGTCCATCACCAGAGGCAAAATGAGTTCTGGACTAAATAGATCTAATAAAAAAATTAAAGCTGCATCACTGGGTTTGCACGATGACAGCTTTCCTGCACCCGCTGAAGCAGACAGCTGTTTAAATCATCGAGTAGCCACGTCTCTCTTGAGTTAATAGACAGCTTTCAAAGGAGGCAGACCAGAAGATTATGGTGCTGCTGCTGCCTCGTGTCAAATAGCACCTTATCACCATACGTCAGGCAGACCGTTTTTGGGGACCTGCAGGAATGTGTCGGGAAGCCTCTCCCTCGCATACAGATGAACCACTTACTCCAGAAGAAGGCGGCGGGCTCTGAAGGTGTCTGCAAGGACTCAGCAGGTTCTGGGAGCCAACGTCTTGCCAGAGAAGCTGATCTGCTCTATCACATCCCCGTGCGAGGCAGCAGCCTCCGACACCTGAGTTTGTGCTTTTGGGGCAGGCGGCGTCCTGCTTGGATTGGGAATGGCACCTGGTGTTTGTGCCAGGCAGCGCCCTGCTCGGATTGGGAATGGCACCTGGTGTTTGTGCCAGGCAGCGCCCTGCTCGGATTGGGAATGGCACCTGGTGTTTGTGCCAGGCAGCGACGCTGGTCTCCTGCTGAGCATGATGCTCTTGCCTTATTTTGCCCTACTTCAGGGCTGGGCAAATAATTCAGATACTCTGTTTAATCTGATAGAACATAGACTTTGTCAGAGAATGCACGTGCAATATGAAAATAACACATCCCCAGGCTGGAGAAGCATTCCAAATATTGCTGCTGCCTTAGACTTACAGCTGAGTTACCTCAGCATCTGCTAACTCCTTGGAAAATCGTGTCTTGCAATAATAGGGCAAGAGTGGGTAACGAGAGGAAGGTTTAAGTATTTATCTCCAACCATTGGAATAAAATTGCTCTGCAGGACAGTGTGTACTGCTCTGGATATCACAGAAGTCTCAATGTTTTTGTCTAGGAAGCTGAACTTATCAGAAATATCCAGGAGCTTTTGAAAAGAACTTTGATGCAAGCTGGAAACCAGATGCGGTAAGACATTTTTCACGATACCGTAGCAGCTAATTTATGTAGCCAAATAATTCCCGGCGTTTAGGGGTGCAATGCCCAGCAGATAAAGATCTTACCAGTGCCAGGCTTATGAGCCATGTGAATTCCATTTCAATCTGAAAAGAGGTGCTCAGTGATGAAAGGTGAGGATTTTAAAGTCAGGTAAGGTAAAACAAGAGCCATGAGCCGTGCCCTAAAGCCATGCTTTAGGTTTTCAGTCCTGGTTTCCAGTATGTGTGTTCAGTTCTCCAATTTTCCAACATTAAACTCGAGTGCAATAAAAGTATTATCTGGATATCAGTCTACCTTGTTGCACCTTGTGATATATTTGCATACAGAATTGTTTAAAATAATTTATCTGACCAAAGGGCTTTTTCAAGATGAGGGTTTTTTCTCTCAGATGTCACTACGAACTTAAAATATGAAACTTCACTCTACCTTCTGTGTCAGTATGGATGTTCATTGCATTTCAAAAGGAATATTGGCTTTTAATTTATAACAAGCCCTTTGGAAAGATGCTACCCGAATCCTAAGGTGCATCAATATGGAGGAGTTAACTGCAGGGAATCTTGATATTTTTGTTTTCTAATTTTTTTAATCTGGTCGAGTTTGTGCTATTCTACTGGATGAAATGAAATATTTCTTTTCTTTTAGAAAGAATGCCTATAGGAACAAAATAATTTTAAGTAGTTCCGTTACATCAATTAGTGTAAGAGAGCAATCTACTGAGTTTAGGCTTTGCTTTTTATAATTAAGATCGTTTTAGTACTATCACCAGCACGGCCTTTTCTATTCCTTAGGTGATGGTGACATCTGGTGTTAACAGTTGATAATGACACACTGTGGTCTGAAGTGGTTCTAATTAATTTGGTGACGTGTGACTCATTTAATTGACAAGAAAGGAGCAGTTTTAACTCTGGATATCCTTGCACCTGTATCTTCCAAGGATAAATTAGTCTGTCTGCACGCTGCAGGGTTTGAAAGGCCAGAGAGGAGGGCTTGGAGAATGGTACAGGGGCACTTCAGGGAGGTTAAATTTGAGTCAGGCTCAATATAGCAGCAAAAGAGAAGGATGGATCTTCTGTTGGCAGTACCTGGTGTCTCTTGAAGAGTGTTCTCTTGGGCAAACCCACCTATTCTCCTCATAATAACTGCAGCTGTAGCCACTATTGAAAAATCTTCTCTGTTTTACATTTATTATGTAAAATCCGAAGTCCGGCTCTAAGCCTTCAGCAGATGGTTGTGGGAGAGAGTTTGGTTAGGATCTTTAGGATGAAAAGGAAAGTTTACATTCTCCTTGTTCTTTGAAAGGCAAAGGCTCGGAGTTTAGCTTCACAAATGTTTGTGATAGTTTTGTTAATTGTATTATTTTTCACTAACAATGTGTGATAATGATGACTTTTCAGATTAAACCGAGATCACAAAGAGGTTTGTGAAATGGACTGGTCAGACAAAGTTGAAGCATACAACATTGATGATAAATGTGGAAGATACAGTAACCAGAGCACCAACATCCAGTTCCATCCCAGCTCAGTGAAGCTGGAAGAGAGGTGAGCAGTTACCCTCATTATCCTCCACAAACAACCCTGGTAAGATACAAGATATCCTTTTCATCAGAGAAAGCTGTAATGCTGCTCCGAATTAAAGGTGTGATTGCTGCTTCTTTAGACATACAATGTCATGGCTTCAAAATAGCTACGTGGGTAGCAAAGGTAGTGCTGCCATCTCAGCATGGTGCACCACTGATGGCAAAGTTGGGTCACTATCTGCAAACTGGGTTTGTACAAGTTTTTCTCAGAAATAATTTGCTTTATACTTTTAAAGCCTGTCCTACATCCTATTGAGGCTTGCTGTTTGCCATCAACAGGCAGCCGTTCTTTCAGGAAAGGCACGTGCTGCTTTTCCTACACAGAGAGGATTACTATTACTTGCAACAAATTTTGCTGCTTCCCCTTCCCCTTTCAGGCAGTGGTCCTATGACACAGTGTCCCGAGTGTTAGGTAGTTCCTTCTACTGCTCAACATGGCAAACTATAACCAGAGATCTTATTTCCTTTGATTTCAAAGTAGGCATAGACTGTAAAGCTTGAATATGTTCATTTAGATTAGGTATAAGAAAGAAATTTTTCACTCAGAGGGTGGTGAGGCACTGGAACAGGTTGCCCAGAGAAGTTGTGGCTGCCCCATCCCTGGAAGTGTTCAAGGCCAGGTTGGATGAGGCTTTGGGCAACCTGGTGTAGTGGAGGGTGTCCCTGCCCGTGGCAGGGGGGTTGGAACTAGATGATCTTTAAGGTCCCTTCCAACCCTAACGATTCTATGATTCTATGATTCAGTGTGTTTATTTGTTGGTGACATAACTGCTTGTGTTTGCACAAAAAAAAAAAGCATATATATACTTTTTTCGCCTTAGTAGTATTAGCTAAAGATGGAAGAACTTTGGATGTTTTTGTGTCATGTATTACTTCCCTCAGAAGCCACAAGATGAATTATAGTTTATTGATTTTATAAAGGATTAGCCTTCTTCCTTCATGGTAAGTCTAGAATGCGTGCAACAGCAAAACCAGAGGAGGACAACACTTTTGCAGGGAGAGGACCAGCTTCAGACTGTCTTCTTGAGTGCAACTTGAACAAAAGAGCAAGGTTCCTCTTTGAATACCATTCACCTCTTCTTCCAGTGCCTCAACACCGGAGACGTGGGCCAACTTCAGCCATGACAACATCCATAGGGCTGAACAAGAGAAACTGGCTTCCATGAATCTTCGGGCCTTGATTGACAATATTCTTCGTGACGTGTCTGAGGACCTGAGGATGCAATGTGCTGCTGTTAACGGGGCTTTCGACAAACGCTGTGAGGAGCTGGAAGATGCAAAACAGAAACTAGAGCATCATTTGAAAAAAGTAAGTGTTATTCTTGAAGTGCTGGCTACGGGTGTGACAGCCTCTTCGGAGAAGATCACAGTAGATTTATCCTCTAGGAAAAATGTCTTAGGCCATGTCAAGTACAGAACACTCTTTTGTGACAGCTTAGCATCTGATGAGAGTATTTCTATTTCTGTACTTCTATTTCTTCTATATTCTGGCCAAATAGGAGGTCAAAACTATAACTGTCTCACTAGGACTGTGAACAGATGTATAGCATGCACGGAGACAACGTGTGGGCTTTTTTAAACAGTTCTTTTTCTTGGCTGTCCTCTGTAGATCCTTAAGGAGATTGGAGATCAAGAAGCTAACATTGCTGCTCTCAAGCAAGCTATCAGAGACAAAGAAGCCCCAATGAAAGTTGCTCAGACAAGGCTGTATGACAGGTCTTTTAGGCCCAACGTAGAGCTCTGCAGAGATGAAGCACAGTTCAGGTAAACACCACTAAACAAGTCCTCCAAGGTGTCCATTCTATCCAGAAGAGAGGTTAGACAGCTTGTGCACTTTTTACTGGCAGCACATGGGCCTCTAGCTTTTATTACTAGGTTTAATTTTGATAATAAGTTGGAAATAATTCAATTGACTGAAGTCACTGCGAAGAAAATATCATTTTAACCTGATGTATTGACAAATAGAAGATCTACAGACTCAACTCCACCTTTTGCCTCTGTGCTTTCTTCTCTGAACTGCGTGGTTGCTTTTTGATTTAGACCATCCGAAAAAAATCTGACAGCAGGTGGATCATTTGCATCCCTTTTGCTGTTAGCAGGAGTTCACCACGAGGTGGACTATGAGCTGAATGAATTATGCTCCAAGTGCTGGGAACGTCAATAGGCTGCACGTACTCATGGTCCGAGACAAGTCCTCAGCACCACGAAGCATCAGGCTGGTGGCCTTTGATTTTCAGTAATAATCCGTTTTAAAACTGGAGGTCAACAAATCCTTTCAAATTAAAGGTCTGAGTGTCACATTTGTCAGTTTTGATCTCATTATAAGCTTTGTAATTGATGCTCCTCCTTCACATTTCCCTACCCTTAGGAAAAGTGGGGAATCAGCTTTTGCAGGCTTACAATAGCCTTGTGGCAAAGGTGCCTACGGTTCAAAGCCTGGGTGCTGGTTTTTGTACAATGAGGAAGAAGTTAGAGTTAATCCAGAGGCTTTATATCATCTCAGGCACGTTCATTTAAGGTCCTGATTCAGCAAACCATCCACGTGCAAGCTTTTCAGTATGTGCATTGCCTTTAATGGGATTTAAGGACACATGCAAGTCCTTTGCTGAACGGGCATGTGTTTAATTGCCAGACTGATGCTGTTTGTAGTTACTCAGTTTGCACAGCACACAGAGATCTTGTTTTCCCAGGAAATAAATATGTGCCTTGTCTGCAGGCAGGTTGCAGTAAAGCATCTCAGCCTCTCTGGCTTTCAGCTGAAAGGACGTGCTGCTTTAAAAATGGTTTGCTGCTTTTTTAAAATGATGTGCTGCTGCTTCTTTAAAAGCTTGTGTACTTTTGGAGTAAAGACTGTTTTCTGACCGCTGGTGCAAGTATTGTTTTTGATACTTGAGTTTTATGCCAGTGAACAGATATCAAAAAACAGGCTTAGCAAAATGTTGATCCAGTAAAAGGGGGTGACTTCTCTGATAGTTTTTGTCCTAGAATTCTTAGTACAAGTGTTCTACAGAGTGGGAGAAGGTGAGGATGGATAATTCCGCTGTGTTTAGTGGCAAAGACATTTTTGGTACTAGCTAAATCTTGGGAGATTTCTGTACAGAAGCTGTGAAAAGTGAACTCTGCTTTTGACCAAGTATGTAGGAGCTCTCTGAGGTCCTTTGTTGTAGCATATTACGATGCTACAGCTGTTGATCTTTATTCTCATTACAGTTCTCGTTAAATTCGGTGTCTTTTTGAACACAGACTGGCTTCTGCTCATTTTTTTAATTGCTTAATGTGATTCTGCTCAGGTTGATCAGTGAAGTCGAAGAACTAACAGAGTCCATTGGATCCTTGAAGAAAAAACTGCTGGAATCTGAACAGTCTCTGAGGAACCTGGAAGGCACACGGATGACTCTAGAAAAAGAAATAGCTGTGAAAACAAACAGTATTTTTATTGATAAGCAGAAGTGCATGGCCCATCGCACACGCTACCCTGCTTTTCTTAAATTAGCAGGTTACCAGTAGTAATCTCTGTACTGATTATGCAAAGCCTGGAAAAAAAATGTACTCTAGAGTCTTTCATATTAAATGCATGGATAATATTATATGCAGAATTACTGGATTCACTGTTACTTTCCTCTATTTGCTTTAAAATGCATTAGTATTGTATCATGGTGGGCTTTGAGTCTTGCCTTTAAAAGTTCAGTCTGATTATAGATGTTTGTAGTGAGTTTAAAACACAGCTGAAAGGTAATTCATTACACCTAGAATTTATCTATATCATATATGCATAATTTGCACAGTATGAGATATCTGGGGTTTTCACCCTAATAAGTGAATATGTTGAGTGAATATTTATTGTGAATAATAATAATATACAGAGATGTAGATATAACATTTATGGCGTTCTAGCATTTTCAGGCAGCCTGAAACAAGAGCAATAAAACTGCTTGCCTGACAGAAGAGCACATGATCAGCAAGGAAACACATGATAGACTTTTAAGCTGCTCAAACAGTATTAGTTAAACAAAAAGTTTGCCCAGGTTAGATGACAATCTGACTGTCGGCAAAAGCCCTCCGAGTCCGTGACACCTGCCTGTTTAATCTGAAAATGAATCCAAGGATTTTTAACCTTCAAGTCAATAAATTTAGTTTTTTTCAGAAAAAAAAAAAAAATCACTACTAAACAGCTTGTGAATAGCAATCACAACTTTCAACATAAGTGCTTGGATGTTGGATTGAGCTCTTGATCTGTTCCAGCCATTCCCTGGAAGCAAGGCATGTATTCAAACTGTTGCTCATAATGGAGAACACACCAGCTTCATCCACTCCAGCAGAGCAATGTCACAAATGTCATTCATCCATTAGCTTAGTAGGCCACTTGGTTAAATATGTGACGTGTCAAAAAAGGGGAAAAAATGACATGGAACAGAATTCCATTATGCTTTCCTGTATCACAGATTTCGCTTTTAAAAAGCAACTGATCAAAGACAGAGAAAAAAAAAAAAAAACAACAACAAAAAACCACCAACCAAAAAGCAGAACACGCACAAAAAATCCCTAGCCAACGTACATTTCTGAATAGCCCTGCTCTGTTAACCAGGGAGGAGAGGCCATTAGCCCATCTGTTTTTCTCCCAGACAGCTATTTGTATTATCTTAACTCAGGATGTGCAGAGCACCATTCAGCAATTGCCCTCCTGCTAAAAGCCACGACCAGTTCTTTGAAAACCAGCTGCGTCAGTGAGGGCTTTTGACCCAAGCCTCTATTTTATGGGTTTGTGTTCAAGAGTTTTGTTTTGCTTTTTTAATAGATTTCCTCTTCGTGATTATATTTTTATAGTCCAGATGCTGAATCCTTGTTAGAGAGAAATGACACGTAGATGAAAAGAAATAAATGCAGCTCTGCTATGCTTTTCTGTGCACAGAACTTAAAAGAGTCACTAAAGGTAATTTTTGTAGACTGAAAACATTCTCCTCCGTTCTGCCTTGCTTAAAATGCCTTCAGCACCTTTCTTCTTGGCAGTATATCCATGCTCAAATCCTACAGCCTAATTGGAGGATCACACACCTCATAGGCAACTACATCGCTGCACAGTTGTGTATAAACCCAACTTTAGCTGCACCAGAAGAATAAAATCTTTAAATGGTGTTCCAGTACTCAGAGCTGTGGTGTTCAAAGAGTTTGGGTCATTTAGCCCCAGCCTCTAGACAGTGTTGCTTCTTTGGTGGCATGTACATCTCTAGGGGGTCACCTAAAATAGAGGGAAAGGTAAGACCGTGAACCAGGCTTTAAACTCTGGGAATATTCACAGAAATCTTTCAGAAAAGTACAGAAAAGAGCAACATCTTCAAACTGACCTTTCTCACCCACTAAAGAAAAATGAAGTGGAATCAAAGCGGAATTTGGGTTATGAGTATGGCAGATGGGATGAGGAGAACGTGCAGTCCAAGACCTTGAACTATTATTTTGATTCATGAGCTTGGCTTAGAGAGAGTAAAAGAAAAGTGCTGTCGTTTTCTCTGAGACAGTGCTCAGTACAAACCACTTTACGCCCCGTATTGGGTTGTAAATGAAGCTTTCCCTAATTAAAACCTACCAGTTTAATTTTCCTTCGTGAACTGACTTGGTCTGCCCTTGCTTTAGGCCAGTCAAGGCAAATCCTGCTCTGATAAACCTGCTACATCAGCAGGAGTGTAATCACTGCCCTATTCACATGGTAGTAGATGAATACGAGCAAGTTGTAAGAATGAGAATCAGATGGAATAGCTTCAAGTTTCAGTAAATATTTTTTCTTTAAGTACTGATTTAAAAAAAAAAAAATTAAAGCTACTGCTCTAGCACGTAAATATGTTGTTGGGTTTTGTTATTTCATAATTCATTCTTAAGCTGAGGATTTACCAGGAAATATTTTTAAAGATGTTTTAGCCAGCTCTCGTGTGAGCTGGGGTCACGGGTGAGTTATAGCTTCCAATTGTCTTGAGTTCTACCTGCTAATCTGTATGAAAAGTGTGGACTTTTTTTGACTTCATTAGTATGTTTTTGTCTATTATCCTGAGAGATTTCTGGTTATGAAGACAAGGTTTAATTTCTGGAAAGTATGAGATTTTTCTCGTTTGCTTGCAGGTAGAGGAAAGAATAAATAGTGTAAGAAATGATACCTTAGAATGCCTGGTACAGGGACTTCAGGGAAAACCAGAGGTGAAGACCCATTAAAAACTTATTTGTTACTTAAGAGCAGATGACATCCTTCAAGGGGAGCAAAGAAGGTCGCAAAGAAATGGGAGAGAACATTTGTGTAGTATTTTTATCATGAATAATTGATTTTCTCTAAGACTGAAGCTTAGAACAACTAATAATTTCAGCCTTCTACCGTGTCCCAGGTTACTAAAAAATTTAGTACCAAAGTGGCAGCCACCAGCACCGAGATGCCCAGAGACAAGACTCTGCCTTTGCTTTTGGACCCCTGACACATGGAACAGACAACATCTGCTTAGAATATTGATCTTTAATTCACTCTACATGGTAAATAGCCACATGGACAACCAGTAACACCAGCTGTGTTTTAAAGGAGAGAGCTGAACATGGGTGGTTTTTTCTATTGTTCTTCAAGATTCCGTTTGAGGTAATTTGCAGCTTAATTACAAAATAACCTGCAGAGACGTGGAAATGATTTTAAAACCTTTTCCTGAGCAATTTTCCCAAGCAATTTCTGGGTAGTCTCTTAGTTCTGCTGGCCCCTCTAAGTAAATCACACCCCAACATCAGTCTTAGCAGTAATAAAAGTCACACTAACAACTTTACCGCGGTGCACTGTGCTCATTCGTGGCCTGTTTTTTTCCTAGGATGTGTCTGATAGCTGGGTCACACACTGGGTCCACTGCAGGCTGAGAATGGAGCAATGAAGAACCTTTAAAGCAGCTCCCAAAACTGCTCATACAAGGGTTGTTTGCAGGACGATTGGAAGGTTGTTTGCAAGGCTTGTTTCCATGTGTTAGATCCCCTTTTCCGTGTCCAAAGTGGCAGGATGGTCTTCATAGCACTGAGAAACAAATCCCAGCTGAACAGGAATGAGGAGAACTGGCTGAACAGTGAAAGGCCAGCGTGGCTAGTATGTCCTTGAACAACCTGAGCTGGATTTGCCATTAATAACATCATTGGATATTATTTATCATCTAAGTTACATCTGATAAACATATTCATCTTGATGATTTCTTAAAGTCTGTTTGGAAAATAGCTGTCCAACAGCTATCTGCTATTTGTCGTTTGTCCTCCTGGTTGGAGTTTATACACATGAAGTTAACAGATATAAAGTATTTCGTGTGCCCAGGTACCCATCAGACTCTCATCCATCCACGCCGTGAACAAACTGTACTTTGATCTGTTGTTGTTCAAGTTGTTCAATCAACGCTTAAGCCCACAATTAACCAGAGGGGTTATGAAAGCCTGCGAGGGAGGTTGTCTTCAACACACAGTACCTGCTCACTCCAAGCTCCTTTGTTACTAGAGGCTTTGCTCTCTCCCTTCTCTGGGAACACGCTCATCACCGAATGGACAAGAACTAGTTTATCTCATTGAAAGCTTTTCCACCCAGTTCCTGCAAATAAAGTTTGCCAGAAGAAAGGCTTTGGTGGGACTCCTACATTTAATCTGCTCTGAGGAACAGGCATCATATCTTAAAGTCTTCACCTGGGCTGAAACACTCACAGAGCTCATCCTTTGAGATGCTGAGTGCCTTTAATTCCCACTAGTGCCTATTGTCTCGGAAGGAGTGATGGGCCCCTCAGGATCACATCCCGGTTTCCTTCCTCTCTGAACTGGGAACAACAGTCTGTTCTTACCATCCTGTGGGTGATGAAGGCAGTTGTTTCTACGGCAACCCCACTACCACATCCTTATTTCAAAAAAACACGTGTATAAGAGGATATTCTGGGTACTACGACTTGTTACATGTGCTGGGCACATACACTTTCGTCCTACAAGTTCCTGTTAAGCTTTCCTTAAAAGAAAAAATGAAGGAGGATGGGAAGAGTAGGCAAGTTGAGTATTGAGGAGGACTAGACAGTAAGAAAATCCCTGTCCTGAGCAAGCCCATGTTGACAAACATTTCTAGACACCTGGCTCCTAGGATAATATTTCAATCCCATGGGTTTTGATAGGAATTAGGAAAATTAGACTTTTGCATCATCCGTAGTACGGTTGTGTTGTGAGGAAAATCAGCCACTGCAGTAATACCCTCTGCTGCAGAGATGGATTTTACCCCAAGGGCTTGCAATGGTAACAGCTCCAATTTGGGATTATGGAAGTGTGCCTCAGTTTACCCAACGTGCAGACCATGCAAGGGGACGCTTTGTTTTGGACACAATTGCAGGAGTTGGCCTGGTTGCATGTAGCCTGTTGTTTGGAAAGGGGGAAGCGTGGCAATTTGCTGGAGAAGTCTTCCTTTTTGATTACCCCCATTTGCTCTTTTTCCCTTAGGTCTTGCTGTTCAGTCATATCGAACACATTATGTCTCTGCTTGTGATGCTTCTTCATACATGGAGAGAAACCTTACCTTTTCTCTTTAAATGCCTTTTGTTATCT